GTCGCGCGACAATCGCCACTTGGTACTCGCGAACCTTGCAATTCACACTTGTAAACAGACCTGCGATTGTTGCGGCGATCGAAAATCGCTGCGAGTTGCAGCTAAATTTCAAGCATGTTCGAAACTCAGGCGATGTGTCGCGCGATAATCGCGCTGCAAAAAACGTAAGTGTAAACGGGCCTTTGAAATCACTACTTTCAACACTTTATTGCAACATAGTTAGGGGTTTTGTCAAGAAGGTTAAAGTTCTGAAAGGTTTTACTTACCGATATGTCAAGAAGGAAGAGTAGTTTCTCGTGGAATTATCTGGAAGCGAAGGCGTTTTCTTTTGATCACCGTTTATAGTAAACACTACATTAGATCAACCTAAAAAGTACATGTATTTATTTTCATTATTAGCGACTCAAACCGCGTTTCCAAGTAAAATTTCTGCGTAATGACACTTACCATTATCACTGTATCGCCACATTTCTCAGAAAGAATTTCAGGACAACTCTTTCCTTCTGTTTAGGAAAATGAGTCTACACAACTAGTATCAGAAAGGCGCTGCCGTTATTAAAATGTGCTTCGATGCACATTATTCAGTTAATACATACAACCAGAGAGCAGAACGTTTCCTGCAGTGTGAATCTGAGTAAGGATTGGTTGAAACCATAAACTGTGAACATCAACAACATAAGATGAGCAATAAATATATCGATTGAAAGCATCTTTTTGACGTAGTTTCTTTGCTTTTCTATCTTTTTTCGTCCAATTTGCATTTCAGCTCTACAAAGCCCTTTTAAATAATTTACTGTGCAAAGTTTTGTTTTGAATTGTCTGAATAGTTGTAATAGTTGTCAGTTGACTCAACGCTAGATTTACAGTTTGTTACGTCAACCAAAGACACCCTAAGGTAAAATTCCCCTAGAAGACCAAAAGCCCATCAAAATTTGCTCTCTTTTGTTGGAATATGGCTATTAAAAACTATTCAACATTATCTAGTAATTGTTTCAACCAGCTATAGAGTACAAACATTAAATGTGCGCAACACTTTCCACTATTTACTACAAAATTGTGTTAACGTAACTAAACAATAGAAAACAATAGAATTAGCATAATTTAGTGGTATTTATGTTGCACAGTTTTAGTGTTTGTACTCTAGTGGTTTTTATTTGAATGATAAAGAATTGATAATACTTTTGTTTATCAATCTCTAATATTCATATTCCAGTTAAAGAAAACAAGTTACTTTTTTATATATTTAATTAATCATTTCAAAAAAAATAAAAGGTTTTTATAGGTTTAGTGTCTAAGTATGTATCAGTTCCAGTGAAAAACAATATTTGTCAGTCTGTTGTATTATAAGTTTGCAAGGAAACCAGTAGAATTGGAGTCTACTTTATAGCATAATTACTCTTTTATAGTCCGACGATTGGCACTCTATTTGCATACACCTAACGAAAACAATACACCAAAGACGCTGTAATAATTTTACTTTATTAAAATGTATTAATTCAACAAAATATAAAAAGGTATTCTACAGACAGGCTTTTGAAAAAGTGAGTTACTTCCCATTAACATGGGCTGATACCTCATTACTGGCTGAATTTAATCACCAAAATTATTTTTTGCACCAGKTTAAAGTGATCAATTTTTCTATTCATTCAGAAATTGTGGAAGTATTGTAAGAGTATTGTAAGGCCTAGTAATTCATTTAACTTAATAGCCATATCGCCTTTCACTATTTCAGTCAGTAAATAAAAATGGAGGGTTCTATAGTTCTCTTGTTGGTCGTCTTGTCTGTCCATAGCTTCCGGTGAGTCGAGAGAAAATGATTTCGCCTTATATGTTTTCCTTGTTTCTCTCAAGTTCCTGCTTGTAAATGATTAAAAATACTCCAAAAGATATGATAACTACAGCCAAAATTGTTAATAAAATATCAAACGCAAGAAATAAAGATTTTTGGCCGACATAGTTCAACATCAAAGCCATCCCGACGCATAAAGCCAATATGCAAATTCCCACAAATATATGTTGCCAGCCTCTATGTTTCCAAAACTCTGCAAACTCAAGGCCATTTTCAGTGTCAAATCTATTCACAAATAGTCTATATTTGTGAGAAAATGCAGCGAATAATATACAATCCCGTACTATTAAGAAGAAATTGCTGTCTTGTTCCCAACCAAATTGCCCTCTTATTCGGTAAAATGGCGAATAGTTCTTCAGCGGAAGATGTTTTGAGATTACGTTGTTGTTAACGTAAAGATCAAACGCACTGCTCCATCCAAACGGCTTCTGGATTCGTATCGAATAACATTTGTCATTTTGTCCGGCTTTGGTATTTACTTCCCAATGTTTTATTGATGAAAAACACCAGCACATTTTGCCAGAGAAGTTTCTCAAGATTTTTAATTCTTCACAGTATTTTCTCTTCTCCTTTTCGCCGTGTATTACAATTGAAACTTCTGACCGCTCAGAAATAAAATTTCTTTAAAAAGGTGATTTTCTTGAATGTTTTTGAATTGCCAGTGTTCGCTGTTACCTCTTCAAAAGTGGAATCCAACAGATATATAAGCTTGAAAGTGTCTTTTGTATCATGTAAAAAATGACAAACTGCCTCGTAACTTGTCTTTCAAGTTCTCCAAGATGGCACACTTGGACAAGTGTAAACAGGAAAATCTCTTAAGCCTATTATTGCGATTCGGGTTTGTTTTGCTTTCTTTCAGTTTTCTTTCCAAACTTAAGCGAAGAAAATCTTTCTTGAATCGTCGTCTGTATTGAATTCACACGATGGGATATCTTTGTCACGAGTCAATGTTTGTGAATAACTATCAACTGTTTAACTGAATTGTTAATGCAAGCTCAATTCTTTCAGCAAGTCGCTTTTGTCGTCAATCGTAGCTTTCAGCTTTACTGCGCATGATTCTTGCTCGCTTTCAAATTTGTATCTTAGTAAAAATTAGCCGAAAAAAGTTATCAAAATAAGTAGAATAATGTCTTATAACTCGTATAAAGTCTTGCTTTGCGTAATAATTTTACGATTTTTTAATTTATTGAGCTTACTTCGGCAGGTGCGACGCCATTGCTTAACACAAACCAGCTTGACCATCCATGAGTGCATCTCTAGAAACATTTGAATATAACATCCAAAATGCTGTAGAAAACCTGTCGCGATATGCAATGCAATATTAATTTTATTTTGTTTAKKCVATTGTAATGTGAATTCTGTCTGCAATTCGGCTGTCATTAATTTTTAATTTGAATGAATAAACTTTTCAATTGAGAATACGTGACTTTCATTTTGACGAGAAATGAAATACACGACAATATTGAATACATACAATTAAAAATGTAAGTAAACATTATCTGGGCAAAAAAATATAAATAAAAGTTAGCCATGGACTTCCGCAAGGATGTCAAGAGGGAGAATTCCATTTTTTCGCGTTTCTACGACTCTGAAAATGGGCTTTTGATTGAAAAATTACAACGAAAGCTTACAAAAAATATATTTCTTTAATCACAGCAGTCCTGGCTACATTTGCATATATTTTCTTTATGTTGTTTTGTTTTCAAACTGAAGAAACTGTTGGAGAAGAAGATAATATAACTGAGAGAATAATGCAGAGAAGAGGATGATATAAGAGAAAAATGCTGAAGAATAATCATGACTCTAAGATCTAAGACTCCATTTAGTCTCCATTTCTATGCAAGGTGACAAGTGAAATGTTGTTTCTCAAAACAGTATAACCAGAGTCCCTTTCGGTCGTGCAATCTCCCTTCAACAATCGCCATTCTCCTCGACAACGCTTTTTGAAACCGGTGTATTTAAAAAACATGCAATAATTTTCATCAATTGCTCATGTTTCGTCCTTAAATAGTACTAAATAATAAAATCTTTCTTATCTGTTATCGTTTGGACAGTAGTAAATAGTTTTGTTTCCGTATTTTTTTTACGTTGAATTTATTCATGTTGAGTTTTCAAAATTATTAGAGTCTTTTCCTCTTCTTTCCCTTCTTGCTCTTCAACCCCAGGGCCGGGTTGTTAAAGCGCTAATCCTGGGTTAACCCTTACAAAACCTATATCCTTTCGATTTGCAAAAACAATAAATAAATAGTCTTAAATATTGTGAGAGTATATACAATTTTAATAGCACCAACTGTACAGTATTAAGATATATCAAATATTACAAAAGGTTCTGAAATACTTATGTAATAGTAAAAATTAGAAAAAATTCAAAACGCGTGTATCTACCGTAAGAGTTCTTGCTTCCAGTGTCCTGAAATATTCATGCTATACTACGTATCCGTATAATATACGTAATGCTTATTTACATTATTGTGATAATACGTATCATCAGAAACTCACAAGGGAATTAGTATAGGAAATACCACCTTAAGAAGGATAAATGAAAAATACCGCGCGTATTTCGGCCTTTTAATATCATACCTTAATAAAATATTCGTTTCCATCGCTTCATGGGGCAGTCTGATACCGAAAAATATCGCGCGTAGATCATTCGAAAAAACTTATGGGATAGATTCGTGCAATGAATTAATTGAACGTGTGATAATAATTAATTGCAAGAGTGAAAAGATTCTCGATTCATCAGCCAATAAGAATCGAGAATTTTATGTAGGTATGATATTAAGCGTGTAGCCTAATTTTCTTTTTTTTCTTTCTTTCTTTTTTTTGCGTTCCGTACTGTGCAATATATTCGTATTACTACGTATCCATATATTTTCCGTGTAGCTTAAGATTTCTTACGTATTTACAATAAACTGGTAATGCGTAACACCGAAAACTCATAAGGAAATTTAAACGTGTGTAAACTACGTAGTTTCCTTGCTATCGGGAATCCTGATCCCTACAATTTCCTTTCAATTTAAAGCAGTTCGTATTTACAGTATACTGATAATGTGTATCACCAGAAACTCATAAGGGAATTCAAACGTACATTTTCCGTATGTGTTTGGGATGTGCATGGATATTACGCATAATAAAGTCCCCTATAAACCTGATAATTAATAAACAATTTCCGTGATTTGTATATAGCTATTTCAAAAAAGGTTAAAATTGTGAAATGGCAATGGTCGAACGGCGATTTCACGACAGAAGTAGCCATGGGTTTTGCTAGTTGAAAGGAAATAACAACTGATTTATACACTAAGATGTTCTGTGGTTAACATTGGCTCTATTTAAGGTTAATGCAATAAGTGCAACTAACAGTGTAACCATAGTCCATTTCGATCGTGCAATCTCTCTTCGACAATCGCCGTTCTACACGACAACGTTTTTTGAAATAGCTGTATCTTGGTTTGATTTCAGTGTTTAGTGTTTTAGACCGTAGGTTTCTATCCCCTTGAGTTATTTCTGGTATCGATGATAACTTTGGCTCTTATATGAATCCAGTATTGTTCCCTTAAATATTGTAAATGATTTGTTATCCTTATCATTATCTAACAGTATTTCTATTAAGTGTTCTATAAGTAATCATGCAGTAGCTTCTCATCTTGCTTGTAGTCTACCAGACTGAAGTAGGTTTGCATCACACGAGCGCACTATACTGTCAAGACGAAACATAGTTTAGTATAAACATACTAATGGTCTATCACTCATACTGCGGTGTGATTGGCTACTCTACTAATTGTCTAATTTGTGATAGACCACTCGCGGGAAAATCAATCTCATTCATAAATTATGTTAAGGATATTTCAATTTGTTTTCATTATTTGACCGATTAGTATGTTTATACTAAAACAATTAGACCTCTCGGCCTCGTGGACTACGAGCTAATAGCCCATTCGGCCTCGCGGACTCGGCCTCATGGGCTATTAGCTCGTAGTCCACTCGACCTCGAGGTCTAATTGTTAAATAGGCATCCACACTTTACATCGTATTCGTACCTAAAACGATAACAAAAAGTAACTAAAAAAATTAGAACTTCCAATAAACAAATATTAAAACTTGAACGCAATTAAAATGTATGATTTTTGTAGAATAATTTCCTACATGTTTCAGCACAGAATGACTGACTGAATATGGCAATGATTTTCAATTATATGATGTTCCGTGACCCACTATACAGTCTGTAACCAAACAGAATCAAATCATCGTACGAAGAGCGAAAAGCATTATGGGAGATTTTAATGACAAAAGCAAGAAAAAAGTCGTTTGTTTTTTGTTCCCACAATTTTCATCGGTCTCCGGCCGACCTATTCCGACAGAAGGCTAAGGAAATGTATATTAAGTTTAAGGTAAATCAAAAGGATAAAACTTACATATAAGYAGTCAATTGGTCTTAATCCTCACTGGYCATAGCATTCTTGATTTCTTCTCTCTTGTCCCATCCATRTGTAGTCACAGCTTTGTAGACCTCTATCAGYAGATKMGGAAATTCTGTCAAGAAYACGGCAGACTCAAGAATGAGCTTCTGGATATCGTGCGGTCGACTGGGCTCAGACACGTGATTAATAGCGTTCCTGATGAAGCGAACTAGCTCAACAACGGAACCAGTATCGTAGGTTCTCGGGTTTTGAGTGTAGTTTTTGCCCTTTTTGTTTATTTTGACGATTGGATTCTTCATCTCAGCAACRACTTTTRCYACAYTTTTGTAATTAGGATCATCCCAATTTGCATATCGTACGATGTTGGCGAAGTTGTTCTCAAGATGAGCTTCCACTGCCGTGGTTACATGATAAGAGGCTGCCTTGCTAGCAGRTGGACACTCAAACTCGTACTGATTGCCAACGGCATTTAGRAAGTCCATCTTCTTTTTGTTSGACCAGAAAAATGGATGATGTAAYGAATCAGCAGCAGATAATCGCTTGCTCTCATCTTTTTGAAGCATGTCTTTGACAAGATGCGTGGCTTCAGGAGAGAGTGCATCATCCCATCCATCCATTTGGTATTTCAACATATTGTCTTCTGTTGTATGTGTAATAACTWCATCGGATKTGTTAGTACAATCTACTGGGCTGAATGGATGTTTTTGCTTTGAMAGAATGTAGTGACACACGAGTCCACAAGAGAAAACGTCAGACGATRAAGAATGCWGGTACGGCTGAAAACGCATCACTTCTGGAGCTATCCAGCAACGGGTACCTACTTTGGAATGAAGAACAGTTGTCCTGCCAGTCGTGAGAGGACTACTGAGACCAAAATCTGCTATCTTAACGATAACTTTGCCATCTTTATCAAACTTGTAAAGGATGTTTTCTGGTTTGAGATCACGRTGAAGAATWGGTTTTGGCTCGTGCTGGTGTAAATACGTCAGGCCTTCTACAACATCACTGCATAATCTTCGTCTTTGACTCGTATCAAAAGATGGACTTAAAAAATAGTCGTCTATATGCCCCTCCATCAGTTCTAACACAATGAACACAAAGTGTTTATCACTGACATCGAAAGAGATGTACTTCACGACTTGTGGACAGTCTGCCAATTCTACAAGATTACTTATCTCTCTTTTATCTTGTCCCTTCACTTGATTTCTTTTGATTTTCTTGA